GAGCCCACGCCCAACAGCCAGCTGGTGGACACGGGGCACCAGCTGCTGGATTACTGCTCAGGCTACGTGGACTGCATCCCCCACACGCGCAACAAATTCGCCTTCCGGGAAGCCGTGAGCAAACTGGAACTCAGCCTGCAGGAGCTGCAGGTGTCCTCGACAGCTGCTGGCGTCCACGGGGCGAACCCCGTCCTTAATAACTTATTGTCATGTGTCCAAGAAATCAGCGATGTGGTGCAAAGGTAGCTACTGTCAATCTGGGTAAGAGAAACACACACGGGGAGGGCGGGACTGTTTTTCTGTACTGATGCTTTCAAAAGGAAAGACTGATACTTGAGTATGTGAAGTACCTCAGATCACTGAGTTCTCCTCACGTTTACAGGTTCATCTCAAAAAATTGGGGATGGAGAGGGTAGATTAAAGCTGTAAGGGGCAGAACGTCAAGGATCTGTCCCTACCTAGTCAGGCTGATCTGCTTGGTATGGCAAGGGAAAAAGAAAGTTCCTTCTCCTCCCCTGGAGAGGCAGGAGAACCGAAGGCAGGTTCTCCCTCTGGGTAGGATGGTGGCGACAGCCGGAGCCCTGGGGTGGCTGCAGCTGCCTGGCTGCACAGATCCCACCCTGGCTGCACTGACCTGTGCTTTGCTGTCCTGACAGGGCCAAGGAAAGGCGCTGGGGCTCTGCTGGTACCAAGGGCGGAGCAGCCGGAGCAGCTCCAGAGGGGGTCATGTACAGCTGGGGGAAAGGTCTAATGCACTGACAGGATTCAGAGCTGCTGGAGGTGGATGCACTGGTCTGGATGGCTTAACTTCCACAGCACTGTTGCTGCTGTAATGAGAACTGCAAGATTAGTTAATATATGAAACTGTCCCTTTTCCCTCCTGTCCACCTCATCCACCACATTCTCATTGTCGTTGTATTGGAAGCGTCAGGGATGCTGGGCAGACTTACCACTGGAATTCCCCTTCCCACCACACTGCCTTCACTCAGCTGATACCTATTTCTAGTGGTCTAGCACAGGTGCTGCTTGATGGTCATTTTTGAGTAGTTTGGGGCTCTTGCACAACTTGCCAGTGTTGTTGTTGGGGTGGGTGGGTTCTTCCTTTTTTTAAGCTCTAGATTGTTTTTAACTTGTTACCGGGTTGACTCCCTAGTTCAGTGTGGTCACCATGAGGACCCATGGTAGGTGAGGCAGAGCCTCTGCCCCCCTGGCTTGTTCTCCACATTCCTTTAGCAGTCACAGCACTGCAGGGCCAGCTGGAGAACCAGAACGTACAGCCCAGCCTGCTCACCACTTGTCCTTACAGCTGCAGGATTCCTTGCGCCTGCCCCTAACCCTTCACACTGCCAGATCCCTCGGATTTGTTCTGGTGTTTACCTGTCCACAGGCTTCCAGCTTCTCTGCAGCCCAAGGTGATAAAGCATGGCAGCACACAGGAAACACCACAGGCATCTCCATGCATTTGTTCCCATTTTAAAGGCTAGACCAGAATCCTGCACTGTGGTGTAGGGAACATGCACATAACCTGTGCACTGCTGTGCCTGAGGCGTGGCAACAAAAGCTGTGGCTCTGCCTTGAACGGCTCCACTGGGTCTCTAATGCCTTCTATTAACCCCAGAATGAGCAGCTGAGTGGTTGGCATTGTCATCCTTGGTCCTTGTGCTGTTTGCAGACTGTTGTGGCCTCAAAAAGCTGATCTGTCTATGCACAACTCCCCGAGGTGTAAATGTACTGGCAAGGAGGAAGAGCTCAGTTGCTGGTTTGTGAGAGGAACGGAAACAGGCCTGAAACCTGGCTCCAAATACACCTTACCTGCATGCTGCTGCTCACTTCACACTGCTGCTGGTAGAGGATCTCACTTGCTTTGCACCTTAAGCCTTTATTTTTTTTTGGCTAAAATGCTTTCTAAACTTGTTTTTCAAGTGTGGCTGTGCTGCTTTTAGTCTGAGCATTTCGAGGGGAGCTGTGGCATGGGTGTGACTTTAGAAGATGGGCACCTTGTATCTGTCTAGAAGCACGTGCTGGTGCTTGGAGGCAGGCTGGGTGTCTCAGCAAGTGTCCCTGTTTTTTCCACAGAGCATAGCGAGACAGGCCTGAAAAAATCTTTAGAAATGGGCTGAGAATCCTCATTTCATTACTGGTCTGAGCTAAGCAAAGTTGTTTCAGGGTGTGTGGAGGGAGAGCAGAGGAGCAGCATGTGAGGTACAATGGACCAGTGAGCTGCTGTGGCCCAGTAAGTGAAGGGCTGGGGGGAAAAAGAACCCAAGCAACCCCTTGTGCTGGCAAGTCCTGATCCCCTGCAGCCCTGGGGCTGTCCCAGGGCTCTTCCACAGGCAGAGTACCAACCCCTTATCTCCTAGACTTTACTGAGGGCTTTTGTGGTTTACCTTATCTCTGTCAGTCATCTTCATGGAAGGTGTGCATCCAAACTGACTGCCTTGGGACAGGTGACCTGCAAAGGGAAGCTGGCTTGTGGCATTGCTTCACATGGCCTGTCAAACAATCTGGAGCATTTAGAAGGTGGAGGGCTCTCTTTTCTTCAGGGCAGAAGGGCAGGTCTTGCTTACCCTGGCAGACCATCACATGGTTCCATGATTGTACTGCTGCTCAGCCTGGGACAAATGGGCTGGAACATAAGGAATTCCAGGGGAAAGGAATCTTAACAGAACATTTTAAAGTTTAGCCCAATTCTGATGAGCATTTTTGTTGAAACCTTTTTTTTTTTTTTTTTTTTTTTTTCCCCTAAATGCCAGTCTTCCAGAAAAGCTGCAGCAGAAGTGGTAGAATAGCAATATGGAATTTCTAACTACTAGACCTCCCCTCTTGCAGCCCTTTCTGAAGAAAGGAGCTGTGTTCCAATGAACACTGTGGGCCATCCCCACTTCCTTTCAGGTGCCCCATTTTCTCCTTGCCCCTGCAGCAGAGATGGGCAGTGGGACAGGGCAGCATCCAGCTGCTTTTCCAGAGTCACAGAATGGCTGAGGTTGGAGGGAACTTTGGAGGTCACCTGGTCCAAACACTCTTCCCAAGCAGGGCCACCAAGAGTTGCCTGTGAGGCCATGTCCAGGCAGCTTTTGGGCATCTCCAAGCACAGAGACTCTGTGCCCAACACAGGAGTGTTTAGTTCTGACCCCTCCTGTGGTGCAAAAACAAGTGCCAGTGAATTTGGGGATTTGCCTGTTGCCACTCTCATGGGAAGTGTTTTCTCTGCCCCTACCTACCACCTAACAGCAGGCAGGCAGCAGGTGGCAGAGGTAGTGCTGACTGAACAGGTTTTTTTCCCCCTAAATTGAAGGCTGTGGAATTGCTGGGACTTCTGCTGCCCTAGAGTGTTTTATTCCCAAACTGCAATGCTCCCCTGCCCTCTGGCAGGATAGCAGAAGGAATCTGGGAAGGCTGGTTCTGCTGTAAGTTACCATCCAGTTGTACTTCTTCCACTGCTGCTTCTAAAACTTTTACCATTCCCTCTCCCTTTAGCTAGGTCTGCCTTTCTCTTCAGCCTTAAAGGTCTCCACTGTGGCCTGTTCTCTGTTCTCAGCCTGGCACCACATGTGCAAAGGAATGTGTGGGTGCTGACACCCCATTATTTGTCCCAGTGAAGAGCACTTCAAGCTCCATGGTTTGGGGCAGGGGACAAGGCAGAAGTCCTGTTGTTTCTTCTCCCTTGCACTGCTGTGGGCCAGGGTTCAAAGCAGTTGTCTTTGCCGTGGGGAAGGCACCCACGGCCTGGTACTGCCAAGCACAAAAGCACAGTGAGCTCAGGGGGGCACTTTCTCTTCCTACCCCTGTGGGAATTGGCTGACTCACAGGTGCAATTCTCTCTTCTTCCTGCACTGCACACCCTTCCTAACCCCAGAGTGGTGCACTTGATTTAGTCAGGTTCTTCATTAGTGTGGCAGGGGTGAAGCTGAGAGTCTGGGTCTTGGGGCTGCACCAAGTTCAGCCAGCGGGAAAGGGGGATGGAAGGGAGCAGCGTTGCTGAACACAGCAGGGAGAGAGAGAGAGGAGGCTGTGCTTGTCCTCCTCAGGAGTTCTCCTGGGTGCCCCTGGCCCTGTGTGCGTGAGACAGCCAAACACGAGTGTTGACATCTGTCAGGGTGCTTTGGAGGAGTTGGGGGCACAGGGAGCCAAACCCCACAGTGGAGACAGAGCAGCCCCTCGCCAGCAGGCAGAGGTGTGGGTGGGCTACACTGCAATCCCAACCCTCGTGTCCTACCACTTACCTGAGGCAGGCTTTTCCTCCGGGGCATCCAGGGCACTGACAGGCACCAGGGACTCCACAGGATGGTGGTTCCACAGTGAAACACTCAGCTCAGCCCTGCTGCTCACCAGGAGCCGGCAGGGACACTGAAGGGAGCTGCAGCTGTGGAGGCTGCTGGGGTGGTGCTGCACGACCCTGGAGTGTGGAAGCAAGCCCGCAGGCCATTGTCTGGTAGCAGCTCCAGGAGGTTCTGGGACACCGAGTTGTTTCTCACAGCTCCAGGCTAAGCAATGTCTGTACCAAAGGAGCTCGTTCTTCCCCATGTGTCTGTTGTGCACGGGAGGTGGCTGGAGCCTGCTCGGCTCACACGGCACTGTTTGTATTGGTAGGGAACTCGTTGAGGGCAGGAATGGATTGAAATGAATCACGTTAATCACCAATCACTCTTAGCAGTGTTGTCAACTGTTTTGTTTTTTAATTGTTATTGTAATATATTTTGGTTGTTTTTCTAATTTAATTCTCTCACTATCGTCTGACTGTGAACTGCGAACAGTGTTAAACTTGATGTAAATAAGGCTCTTGGAAGAGCCTCTTTGCCTGTCGTTCCACAAAGTTTTGCCAATTTGCATTTTGTTTTAAATAAAGGTTGCAATATTTTATTGGCAAAAACCACTCGAGTAGATGCTGGGGTTTTTTTTCCCTCCTTAATGAATATATGAAGCTGCTGAGTTCTAACCAGAAGCTCTTTCATTTGGGTAGAAAAAATTGTTTAAAAGAGAAATAATTTAATTCCACCAGGTTGCAGAAAAAGCAATATCTTTATTTATGCAGCATCTATTTAGAACCAAACTGTTGCCCTGGCGTGGTCAGAGAGCAGCTGTTGCTGTCGTGGGGCTGACCAGAGCTCACCCAGGTGTGACACAGCCCTGGCCTCGCCCTTGTCAGCGTCACCAGCACCGCCCTCGGCCAGAGCTGCTCCTTGTCCACCTCAAACCAGTCCCCAGCGACCTCCTGCCACCCAGCCTGTGCCAGCCTAACCCAGCTGAACACTTCCTGACATTCAGAAAACATCCCAGGTGCTCCTGGCTTACACACACAGCCTTTGGGCTCCTACCCTTCAGCACACAGCTTGCTGAACTTTGTGCCCAGGTGACCAAACACAGCCTGAGCTGTGTCCTGTGAGGCAGCAGCTCCCTCCCCAGCTGGAGGGAGCCATCGCCCCCATCCCAGGTTTCTGACACCTGAGATTAACCATAAACCAAGTCTCAGAAATGCCTGATCAGCCACGCTGGCACAGCCCCAAGGTCCATTCCACAGGGCTGGGTTAAGCCACCTGCACTGGCTGAGCAGTGGGAGAGCAGCTGGCTCATCTCTGCTGGGACTGCGACGCCTCCTCAGGTAACGGAGCCAGCAGGGACTCGGGGTCTGCAGGGCTCAGATGTGTCTGTCTGGTCAATCTTTGCCAGAGGTCACACTGCTCATCACTGGCACTGCAAAATGGGTCAGAGCTTAAAATAGAGCAAAGGTCCCCGTGGGGGTGGCTGGGAAGCCAAGCCCTGTCCTTGGCAGGGGCTGTTTCACTGCTCGCCAGCACAGCCCTGTTGGAAGGGAGTTTTGACCCAGAGGTCACAGAGTGATTCCTGTAACACTGATGAAATTTTTTGGAGCTGCTGCAACACACTTATCACCTGGCGAGTACCCAGACAGCAAACAGCCCCTTGTAACAATAATAATAACAATAATGCTGATACCAGCCAAAAAGCCACAGCGTGAAATGTACTGAAGAGAAAAACAAAAAAAGGAAGGAAAAAACCCAAGCTTTTACTTTTACTGCATCCATGAAAACTCACGTGCAGCTGCAGCCTGATGCTTCAGCCACCATCCTCCTCACCTGCCCTTTGCCCTTGGGCAGAGGAGTTCTCTCCCCGTTTTGGTTTTGCAGTGAAGGAAACGGGCTCTGCACCAACCTGCTTAGTAAAATAATTGCAGCAGAAGTTCCCCTCACCCCCGCAGCTGCTTCCATACAACGGAAGACATCAGTGAGAGGTGGACACTCCAAGGTGAGAGCTATGGATTTGGCATCTCCAGAGGAGATTATTCAGTCCTTCTTCTCTCCCTGCACAGACTACAATTCTGGCACGTGTCCCTGAGCAGCAGACACCTTAAAAAGGCAAGAGAGCAACAGAGGGGAAAACCTCAACTCCAGCAAAGCAGTTCTATGTGGTCTTGTAAATTGACAGAAAATTGGGGGCAGGGATGTGTCTTTGGCCACACTGTCTCAACAGGACCAGCCTGTCCAAGGCCTCCCTTCACCACACAGCAACAAAACAAGGACTTGGACATTCCCAGTCCCCACTCATATGGAACAGCACCTGCCAGCAGAACCACATCACCCCTCCAGCTAAAAGAAGGGACTTAGAACACCAGACAGGCTCCAAAAGCAGCCAAGCACAGGCTGTCCCCACATCCCAGGAGTAAGGGATGCACCTCCTTCCCTGCAACAGCTCTGGGAGTAACGGGGGCTTAAGCCTCTCTTAAGTCCCTGTGCAAGTGCCTGGCTGGGTCATCTGCCTCTGACCCTGTGTGAAGGGAGCAGCTCCCGGAGTGCAGAACACCTTCAGCACACGTCTGGTCCCCCTGGTGTTCAAGGAATGAAATAATTGATGCGCTGGGGCACGGATTTGCAGCCCTGTGCAGAGAAAAGCTTCTCCTCTTTGGGGACAAACACCATCATCTGGGCCACCTGGTCCAGCGTTGCCTCGGTGTAGGGAAGGCCACGGGCCAGGAAGGCGTCCCGAGCACAGAGCTTCACATGGTGATACTCCAGAGGCAGGAAGGGCACCAGGAAATCGATCAGGTTCTCTCTGAGCAGCTGGCTGTGGGCATAACTGTTCTCTGGAGCAGAGCACAGGAAAGGCAAACTCAGAAGCTTCACCTGAGAGCATCGTCCCTCAGTGAGACCAGGCTTGGCTCCGGGGGGCTTATCCAGTGGGACCCACTTGTGCAGAGCTGCTCAGCACTCCGAGCACAGAGCACCTCTAGGAGTCACACCAAGAGATGCCTGGAGCCCCAGAGAAGCTTCAGTTCTGCCCTGTGAGGTTGAGCTGCCTCTTGTCCCCAGCCATTTTCGGGGCTGAAGGGGGCCTGAAGGCCTCTTGGCTCACAGGCACCACGGATGGGGCTCTCACTGCCAACAGCCCCGGGCTGGGCTGGAGCCAGGGCCGGTCCCCCAGGCACAGCCCTGGGTGGCACAGGGGCAGCCTTGCAGGCAGCCTGCCCCTGATGCAAGCGCAGCTCTTACCTGCAGCCTCCTGCAGCTCCCGCCGCAGCCGCTGCTCCAGGAGCTCCAAGGAGATCTCCTCCCGTGCCCGGCCGGCTCGCCAGAAGTCCAGGGCCACCTCATTGATGGTGTTGCCACCAAGATTGCTGTGGACACAGAGGGAATTCGCTCAAGATTTCCCCCAGAGCTGAGCTGCTGAGAGCTGCCAGCACCTTCCCTGCAGACAGGCCCCAGCAGTTCTGTTGGCAACAGAGGATTTGCTGTCTAGGATCAGCACATGGAGAGCCAGCCTTCTTCCCAAAGAGCCCCTTTCCACAGGCATCCATGCAGCTGTCTGCCATCCTGCCAGGGGCAGCAGAATTCTCCGTCTCCCTCAGTCCCCAGTCCTGGCTTGGGAAGCCATTAACCTCTCAGGTGACACTTGGCTCCACACCAAACGCTGAACAAGCCACCACAAAGTCCAGGTTAAAGGGCAGAGCACGTGGCAGGGGTCCCACTGGAAGTAAAGGTCCAGGGCAGGGATTCAGGTGGCAGCCCAGGACTTGGCACAGCATCCTCTGCCCATGGGACAAAGCAGCAACACAGCTCCCACCTAAGGGCTCCTCTGGACACCCATGGGGGCAGCTCTGTGGTGGGGTTTGCAAGGTCCTGGCAGCTGTTGAGGGTCCCAGGACAGCCCTTCACCCTGGAAAGCAGATCCAGGAAAAGTGTCCCCCCTCCCCAAGCGCTGGTGAGGGGCTTGCCCCCAGCCCCGAGTGTCCCAGTGAATGGGAACCAGCTGGATGCAGAGCTTGTGTGGGTGGGAGGCAGGGAGGCACAGAACTTGCACCCCATCCTCATCTCAGAGGCTCTGGACACCGAATAGAAGGCAAGGAAAATTAAAAAGCCACCAGAGTTTCCCACCATGCCCTCACCCACTATCAGTGAGAAAACAGCTTGTCCTGATCCTCCTCCCAACCCAAAGAGCCCCTTTTGGCTGGACAGACAGACAGCCCTACCCCATCTGCAGGACTGTGCCAGTGTCCACAGAGCCCTGGGGCAGAGCCATCCCTCCTAAAGCAGGTCAGTGTCACACTGCCACCGGGAGTGACGAAACCCCTGCGATGACACTGCTGCAGACCAAGGCACCCTGCTCCCCTCTGCTTGCTGACACAGGATCCTTTCCTGACCTTCATGGCTCGCCAGGAGGACACCAGGCCAGCCCCTGCCAGCACGTCCAGGCAGGGCAGGACCTGCCCCTTCCTCACAGGTGGCACCAGAGTGTGGGGAGTTCCACAGGGCACACAGGCAGGGAAACCTCTCTGAGGGAAGCACCAAGCTTGGAGGTTGGAACACTTGCCTGGATGGTGGGAGGTGGAGGAGGAATGCTCTGCTCACCCCCAACCACCAGGAACAGCTCCTGCCATTGCTCAAGGCTGCAATTCCCAAACTGAAGGGGACTCAAGATGCTGATCTCTCACTCTTTAGGAGCACTTCAGTCAGGTGCCTGCCTCACATCCTGGTTCTGAGATGTCCCATTTCTCCCTCCAGCTGCATCCCACACAGAGACACTGCTGGGGTGCACTTGCTGGGAAAGGAACCAGCTAAAGCAGGCTCTGCTAATGCCAGGATCAGCCTCACATCACCTCAGTCTGCAGCCACAGTGGGAATTCCCCAGCTCCTAACAATGCTCCTAACTTCCCACCAAGACCTTCAGGCCCAGCTCTGCTCCCTGGAGTGTGACGTCTGCCCAGCTGAGCAGGGTGGCACTGTGTTAACTGACTGTGCTTCCTTGCCTCCAAGTCTAGACTCTGGCTCAGGTGTCCCAACCCAGCTGGACCTCAGCTCCTCCTGCAGATGCCCTGTTCCCAGGGAGGATGCCCAGCATGTTCAGGTAAAACTGAACATGGAGGCAACCACCACGAGGGAACAAGGTACCTGTGCCCTCCCCTGCCACCTCAGCCCCTTGCATCACACACCTCTGGGGACAAACACCATTACTGGTGACCAGAAATCACCTGAGGAAGAGGAAGATGGATCTCTGCTGGTCTGCCTGGCCCTTGCTGTCGCGCTGAGCCACGAAGGGCTTGATGGCGTCCAGGAGGCTGGAGTGCAGCTTCTCGGCCTCGTCGAAGATGAGCAGGGCCTGCCTGCAGCGCTGCAGGGTCTCGCTGATCTGCCTCTGCAGCTGGGCCTGGGCAGCAGCAGGGAGAGCAGTCAGGAGCCCCTGGGATGCCCTGGCATCACCCAGCCAAGCACCACAGCTGCTCCATCCCCTGCCACCCAGCAGGACAGGGCAGAGAACAGGAAGAGCAAAGGCAGGAAAATGAGTGAGGCGAGACAGATTAGTTTAGTAAGTGAAGGAAAGAGTAAAGAAAGACATCAAGTGGTGCAACGGCAGCCACCCACCCTGCCACAAACAGACTGATGCCCAGCCCGTCTCTGAGCAATGGCTTCCTGCCCCCAAACCCCCTCCCTGCAGCTTTTATTCCTGAGCATGGCTGTAAACGACACAGAATATCCCTTTGGCATTAGGACTCAGCTCTTTGGTGTGTCCCAAACTTCTTGTACTGACCTCAGGGGCTGAGTGGGACAGAGGGGATGCCCTGAGGCTGTGCAGGCACTGCTCAGCAGAAACCAGCCAGTGCTGGGGGATCCAGTTTCACCCACAAACCCAAGGCACAGCCCCACACAGGCTGCTGGGAAGGACATGAACTCCAGCCCAGCCCAGCCCACGGAGCATCCCGTGCTGCTGGCTCTCACCTTGTAGGAGTCCACGTAGTTGTGATGTGGGAAGTGGAGGAGGGAGACGAACACCCTGACACAGTCACTCCTCAGCCCGTCCCGGTACAGGTGACTGGCCACCATCCGAGCCACAAAGTTCTTCCCTGTGCCAGACCAGCCATGGAAGGACAGCACCAGAGCCTTGCGGGGCCGTGGGCTCTGCAGGAATCCCCGCAGCGCCCGCAGCACCACGGCCTGGGCCAAGTGCTGCCCGTGGAGCTGCCCACTGAGGTCTGCCTCCAGCCCTGCACAGAGAGAGCACGAGCTCAGCCTCCGCCTGCCAGCACAGGTGGGAGCAACAGGAGAAAACGTGGCAGAGCTGCCTGGCCAAGAGCACTGTGAAGTGGCATTAAAGCCACAGGCCCTGCCTACATCAGCCTCTGGCCCCAAAAAGACACAAATCTTCCAATGACTCCTTTTTTCCTTTAGGAAAAGGCAGAGATGCTTGGCAGCTGCAGAGAGCAGCGATGCCCCAAGGCCCTCCCAAGCTCCCAGCACAGGGTTTGCATACCAGGAGTCTCAGGGACGGCCAAACACAAAGACACCTACTCATGGCTTACACCAGGTAAGTGTGCCCTCCTGACCCAGGGCAGGGTCCTGGGCCAGTTTGGATCCCACTGCATGTCCCTGGAAGCTATGGGATGCAGGCAGGGCTCGTGGCAAGCTGGAGCAGTAAGAAACATGCTGCGCCCTAAGGAACAAACTCTCTTTGGTCTCAGAACTTCAAATGGGACAGGACTGAGCTCAGCCTCTCACCCTCCCACAGCTCAGCACCCCACTCAGAAAAGGCCTTTACTAACATCACTTTCTAGAATACACTTCAACAGGAAAAAAGCCTCAAAACAAGGCACACAAGCAGCACAGCCCCTACCTGTGATGTTGTTGATTATCCTGCAGTCTCCTGTCTCACAGCACTTGCCGAAGCTGCAGTACCAGGCAGAGAGGATCTCCAGGTAATCTTGGCCCACCAGAGGAAAGCCCCAGCCTGGAAACAGGAGCAGAATGAGCAGAGAGGTTCCAGGAAAGGCATTTTTACATTTTGGGCTCAGCTGAGCCCTGTTACGGCAATCCTCTCCCGGTGCACGGACTCGGCCATGTCCCTGCGGGCAGCCCTGGCTGTGGGAGGACAGTGGGCTCGGAACCGGCAGCAGCTGCTTCGAGACGGCTCCGAGGGCCCAGAAAGTGCAAGAGCCTCATCCCGGGGTGTGCCAAGGAGGGAGATGCCCGGGGCAGGAGCCCTCGGGAAGGAAGGGCAGCGCCACAGGAACCGGGGCCAGAGCAGCGGCCGGAGCTGCTGCTCCTTCCCGGGCACGGCAGAGGGACAGAACGGAGCAAGGCGCTTACCTGGCACGGGACTGGCCTCTCCTTCTTCTTGCTGCTTCTCCTCCTCCTCGCAGCCCTCCTGCCACACCCTGCACGCCAGGTACTGCCAATACTGCTTGGAGAGAGCTCCCAAATGCTTCTTCACGGCTTCGTACCTCACCCTGCCCCACGGCCCCCGCTCCGGGACGGCTCCCTGCTCCTCCGCCCAGGGCGCCCGGGGCGGCGGCGTTGTCCCGGGGCTGCCCGAGCCGCCCAGGAGCAGCAGCAGCACCAGCACAAAGCAGCCGAGCCCGCGGGGGGCCGGGAGCCGGGCCTGGCCCATGGCAGCGCTGCGGGATCCGGGAACGGAGCGGGATCCGGGAACGGAGCGGGGCCCGGGAACAGGGCGGGCCCGGCCCGGTCCGCTGGAGCCGAGCTGAGCTCACTTCCCGAGGCGTTGCTGGGGAGCAGCCGCGGGCGGTGCTGGCCCCGGCCAGACGCGGCTTCCCTGTCGCCGTCGCAGCCGCGGGGACGCGAGAAAAGCCACGGCCGGGGGCAGCAGAGGCTCCGGCCCCGCCCCGGCCCGGCCAGCCCGGCTGGGGAGGGGGGAAGGCCGGGGAGGCTCCCGGACAGCGCCTCCCGCAGAGCTGCGGCACCAGCAGCCAGTGCCGGGGCTGCCACATAAGCTGGTTTGTAGCCCAGCGGCTCGGCTGAGGTTCGGCAGCCACGGACGCAAGAGCAAATGGCAGCTGTTCCTCAGTGTCCCTTCAAAGGGGACACAAAAATAAGAGGTGAGGAAATAAAAACAAGGGACCAGCGGGGGAGCAGCAGGGCTGTCCAGGTTGCGTTGGCTGCCTGCTGTCCTGACATCCTAACTGAGCCCAAGGTCAAAATGCTTTGGAAATGGAAAGGATTTCAAGGTTATCCCACACGCTCAGAAAAATAAAAGTAAGAAGGATCATAAATAGAACGAATCCAGCCTGGTAGTTGCCTGGTCCAGGTGGATGGGAAGGGGGTGCAGCCCAGGCGTGGAGCAGAGCGCATCACCATCTACAGGTGCCTGCGAATATTACACAGCAGCATTTCACATCCTGGGACGAACAGAACGGCCCCTTCAGTACAAAAACACTGAGGCTGAAACCTGAACACCACTTGCAACAAATTAACCAGACCTAAAAGTCGTGCATTAAAGAAATAAATTAAAAATCAAACTTGCTGTAGCCATAGCAAAATAAACTGCTGTCAGCCTTTCTAAAAACTAGTTGAGGTATCTCAGGCATTTATACAGATTTATAAAAAAATTCATAGCTGGAACACTCAAACTTTGCTCAGCCAGGATAACTGCTCTAGCTGAAAATGGCTTATTAAAAGGGACAGATGCTGTAAAAAAGTAGATGGTTACATGTTCCAAAGGAAAAAAAAAATTCTGAAGGATAAACTGGTCCAACACTGCACCAGCTCATGGCATGATTCCTGGGATGTCAGCCCTGCCCAAGTGCAGCACATAGTAAGAGCCAGAAGGAAAACCAGTTCTTTAGGAGGCCCTGGCACAGGGTGCCCAGAGAAGCTGTGGCTGCCCCAGCCCTGCAGGTATCCAAGGCCAGGTTGGATGGGCATTGGAGCAGCTTGCTCTGGTGGAAGATGTCCCTGCCCATGGCAGGGGCTTGGAACAGGGTGATCTTTAAGGTCCCTTCCAACCCCAGTCATTCTGGGATTCTCTGAAGGGATTCTCTGAAGCACATGGGTTTTTCCCTTCCTCTGCTGAAACCCAAAGTGCAGTTTGCTGGTCCTGAGGTGAGGCTGGCAGCAGAGGCAGCTGCAGGGAGCTGCAGAGCCCCAGAGCTGGTGGGAGGATGCTGAGCTTGGCACTCACGGCTGGTCACTGCAGGCAGTCGGTCCTGGTGAGCAGCGAGCACTGACTGAGGCTCCACCACCTGGGCTCAGCTCAGGAGCCATCTGAAGAGAAAACAGCACCACAAGAAATGGTTATGCCTGGCTTATTCCACGCCCCAATGCAGCTTGGGTCAAACAAACACTCAGAGGGAACCTCACAGTCCAGAATTTCATTTACAGGCTCTCCAGGGACATGCCATGCACCCATCTTTTAGGGTTTTCCCCATTTCCATACGGCAATTTCTTCTGCACATCCATCTCTGCACGCTGACAGAAGGCAGAAGGAGAAAAGCCTCTCTCCAGAGTTCAGTTATGGATTAGATCACTAAATAAAAGAAAGATCTAGAATAAAGGGTATGAGAGGAGTCCTTTTCCTTCCTTCCTTTTTCCCCCACAAAGTCCTATCTATCCCCCATCTCTTAAAAATATTGAGATACTACAAAGAACCAATCACCAGTCCCACACTTGGGATATATGAACTAAGGACTTCTTTTCCTATTTTTTAGATTCAATTAAAAAAATTGTAGGGAAAGGATTTGAGGACTTCAGGGAAAGTGCTTATTTTCAACCCCCTTTTGTCCTCCATTGGCTCAAAGTTATTTGTGTTCATTCTTTTGTAAAAGTACATTCATTACATAATCAGAAGCACTAAAATCTCCCAGTTATACAAATTCTCTCTGTTACTATGGCAAACCACTCCAAAAATACAGAGCAGCAGCACAACAAAGTGCTTGGAACAACAGCTCTCAACTGCCAGTTTCTGCCTGTCAGAACTTAAAAGCATCTGTAGCTGTTGAACTGTTCACACACAAGCAAGAATCCTGTCCCGCTCCCTGAGCAAATTGGCACCTCAAAAATAGAGATGGAGGAAAGAAAAGTTACTGTCAGCACACAATGCTAGGAAACAAAAAACCCCAGAAGATCCTCCCCCACAAAACCCTCAAAATAAACCCCAGAAAGCAGTTCTTACAGAATTCAACAATGCTGAAATCTGAACTTTCAGTGAGAAACTCTAGTTTAAAGAAAAACAGGTTTCACACCAGCAGTTGATGTTACAGAGCAGGTCCAAGATCCCTGAATTCAGAAATACTTCACCTCCTGTCTCTGAAACACTCCCTGCTGGGGCACTAAGGCTTTGCTGCAGCCTGAGTAAAGCTCTGCTCTTGGGGGAGCAGTGACTGCCCATCCCAGCAGAAGCTCAGAAAGGCAGCCACACACCTGCCAGCTCTGCAAACACCCCTCACAACCCAGTATTCATCCTGGCTCCATGGAACCAGCTCCTGGGACACTGCCAAGGGCTCAGCCCAGTGCCCAGCAGATGCAGGACATGGGCAAAACCACACCCCAGTCTAGGTGTGTTTTATTTCTGTATCCCTTTGGTACACTCCTCCTTCCTTACCTACAGGCCTCTGGGAAACCAGCTGCATTTTTTGGATATACATGACTGGAGTAAATGCCATTGACAGCCATTAGCAGAGGAGTAACTGGGAGACAGCAGCAGCAAAACACTTCACACATTCAGCCCACCACATGTTGGAACTTGAGAGAGACAGACAGGAGAGAGGGAGAGAGAGACTTAGGCAATCCATCAATGTTGCTTTATTAAAATCTTTATTCACACAATGTTGCTTTATGTGGGATCTGACCCCGGGGGATAGAAGTAGAAAGTCATGATTGCATTCTGTTTGCTTATTAGCAACTCCATTTGTGCAGCAGCTCCCAGGGGCCTCCTCTGGCACATCCGAGAGGGGAGTCTGTTTCCAGCTTCCTGCTCCAGCTGCTGCAGTAAATAAATTACCTTCTTAATAAATTAGTACTTTTGAGTTGAAGTTTGTTTGGCAAGACACACACCAGTTCATCAGCTGCTGAAGGAGAGCTGACTCGAGTGTCTCCTCCCCCCTGATGGCTGACTTGGGAGGGAGGAGGTAAATAGCAGATGGCTGATGAGGCTCTTTAATTAGTTCTTGATTTCTGTGCTTCCAGTGCTCTGCTATCATTGATAAGCACGACACAACCAGTGTGTAACATCTGGGGCCAGTGGGTGACACGTGCACGGTGAACAAGAATCAGAAGGTGCCTGGAAAACCTCCCCAGAGCACCTGCCTCACAAACAATGTTATTGTTCAGAGATTCAAGCAGACCCAGTTGGCACGTGGATGCTGCTGCTCCTTTCCTTTGCAATGGTTACAATTTAAAATCTCTCAGGGTTCTGTGTTCAAGCAAAACGACCATCACTGCCAAAAGGGCAGAAATTGTCACAAGGCCAAAACCAGATCTTCCTGATTTTGGTTTAAGAGAGGAATTTATTTTTCTTTCCTGCTGCAGAACACCAACCTCCAATAGTGTTTACAGCAATGAGAAGCATCAATATCACAAATAAAAAAACAGTCCTAAAAACCAACCATTTCTTGCTTCCTTCTACTGATAATGCTGGACTTCATGCCCTTTGTCCACAAGTAAACCAAAATAAACCAATACCCTGCTTTAAATCTTTGACATTTATACTGGGGAAAAACCCATCCCCAGGTTCCATCTGACAGCAAAAGCTTTAGCTTACAGCAAGATGTAAGTCCTCAACACTAATTTAACTTCAAAGACTGAAAGACCTTTTTTTGAGCCCATTATTAAATCAAATGTAAATATCAAGAGTTATCATATAGAAATCAAAAATTAAATGTTGGTAGATCCCTCCCAAAATATTAAGAGCTCATGTTTAAGCTCAAAGAGAAGAATAAGCTTTAAGAAATGCTACAAGCCACCAATCATGTGCTTCACTATCTCCCCTCTGGGTAAATCATCTGAAATTTCCTGGGAAACAGCTTAAACCAGCACTTGCTCCTGCCCCACAGACACCACCCACAGCTTCTAAAGCATGTTCTGTTATCAGGTGATAGAGGCACGAGCTCCACAGTGTCCTCACAGCTGGCTGTGTGTCACCACCCTGACTAAGAACTCCAGTAAATAACTCCAGATCCCATCCCATCATCTCATTGCTCTGTGGCATCTATGATTGTGGCCAAGTCCAGAAGAGAGCAAGAACAACGCAGAATTCAATGCCAGGTAAACAGTCACATTCTACTTTCAAGATGCTCTTCTCATGCAATGAGAAAAAGACTTCAACAAAATAAACCAATGTCTGCATTTTTCAGATAAAACTCTCTCCCTGACACCTCCTGGATCAGGTGTGGCCACGGTGCAAGACCAGAAAACAGCTCTTTACCTGCCTGCCACACTGCAGTCAGAGAAATCCTGACAGGAAAATCAAGGAAAAGGGTTCAAACTGACATTTTGGTGCTCTTGCTCTCAAGTTCAGTAACCTGCAGTCACTTGCTGTAGGGAGCACCTTCCTTACATTAAGGACCATGCTGGCTGAACACTGATGCAAAGCTGTTCAATTTGGAAATAGTGATGAAGCTGCTTCTCTTCTGGAGACACAAACTGAGACCTGCCTCAAGGTGATCAGTTTTATGACACAAACTCAGCACAGGCTGCAGTGCTGAAGGACAACAGGACTAGCACAAGATGAGTGCTGCAAGCCTGCCATGAAAAGCCAACTTTTCTCTATGGCAAAACCAATAGTGAGGACTCCTGGATGACCATCCCAGGCAGAACATTGCAGTGGGGGTTGCAAGAAGCAACTGGGGAAGGCAGAAAACCTCCTGGAGGTGATCACAGCTTCTGAGCTCAGCCACAGCCAAACCAGGTGAACGTGGGACCCAACACTGGTGTCCCCAGAACAGCAGTGCTGAGCTGTGGTCACAGGCAGCAGCAGAAAGCTCACTCAGGTGAGATGAAGACAGACCACAGCTCAGGGATGTCTGCACACCTCAGGTGTCTGCTGCTGACTGGGGAAGTCCAGCAAACACCTCTTCCCCCAGTCCCACATGCCCAGAGGCTCCACAGCACTCAGGGCTCACAGTAAAGTAGCCTGACCTCACTACACAGAAGTGTTTCCAAGGACAGATTCTGTCCTCCTCAGCTACAAGAGAATGAACATTTGGTTATAATGGACACAGAACTGCAAGACCTGCTCAGACCTTGCCAGATTAATTTAAAAAAAAGAGGGACAAGACACATGGAAACTTACTATAACCCCTTAAATATCAAGTGCTGTATAACCACCCTGTCCTCTCCTAAATCTCCAACCCTGTGGATAAACCTTTGATAGGACTTCAGCAAAAACACTGAAGCATTATCACATAGGAGGCAGCCACCTTTCCCAGCCTTTTATCAAGGAAAAGCCAAGTGAGCAGCAGAGGTCCCCTCTCCCACCCCTCAGACAATCAGAAGAACATCCCACCCCGGGGGGGTGGCACACCTCTTCAGGCCAACAGTTATTTTATTCACCCCTGCTCGTTCTCTAGAGAAGCAGTAAAATGCCCAACCAGCTCAGAGCTGATTGTGTACAACCCTGAATGCACAAACTCGCCAGAGGAAAGGGGGAAGAGAAGGGGAAGGGACTGTACTGTTCATCTCTGAGGGCCCCCTCCAGATCCAGTCCACAAAGGAGTTCCGTGTTCCACACTCTGCACCAGCACCAGAGCCGTGTTTATCCAGCGCGACGCCCGCTGCCGGCAATGGACACGCCACAGTGGCCATGGTGCCACCACGGGGGCTGAGCCATGCCAGGCCTCCTTCCCACCTCTCACTGCTGCCAGCCCGAGGAAAAAGCCAGTGTCACCTCCCTTCCTCTGGCTCGGGAGCTTTCCTGTTCATGTCAGTCCATCTTGGCCACAGCCCTTCTGAACTGATTGTGCTGTTTTTCTATCACTTGTTTGTTTGTTTTTAAAAAAAGGAGTTTCATCTCGCGTTCCGCTACGATTACAAGTGAGACAGAGTCATCCTGTCTTCCACCAGCACAACATCTGGCCCAAACTGGTCTGTGCACTGCTTCACTGTAGCCAGGATGCTGAGGAGCCGCTGGTCCAGGGCGTCCAGGTGAGGGGTGGAGAGCACAGGCGAGATGGGGTCATGCGACATGGCAGTTTTTAAGGCAGACTTCAGGACTCCGTTCTTCAGGTAATTCAGCCTGTTCCAGGTAGAAACCCGGATGCTGCAAAAGAAACAAACACACATCACCACACCAGGGTCCTGCTGCATCCCACTGGGAATAGCGGCTCATCAAGAATGGAGACTCATTGGAGAAGTGGGTTTGGGATGGCAGGGTCCAGGTGGAACTGCATCACAGACAGGATCTAATGAAACTTGAAAACTAAAGGTGATGAAGAATCAATCTGCTGTGACATAACTCAGATGTTACACAGGAACTGCATCACAGACAGGATCTAATGAAACTTGAAAACTAAAGGTGGTGAAGAATCAATCTGGTGTGACATAACTCCGATGTTACACAGGAACACTTCTGGCTGAGAGCACGAAGGTCTTCGGTCCCGCGGCCTCCCAGACACAGTTTGGAAAGGAAGAAAAGGAAGGAAAATCAACAAATTCAAACAAAGGTCACCTCAGGAAGAGCATGACTGACCAATAATGAATCACAGAGGACAAAAGGCAGTTGACCAAACTTCCAAGAAAGAGAACACAGCAGTGACCTTTCCTCTTCACTGGCCACTGAGCTTGTTTGTGTCAGCCCATCTCAGCTCTCATGTTCTGTGAAGTCTCTTGGCATTCTCCCCCAAGCCTTTCAGGGCCAAATCTTTAGCATGCCTGGTCTAAACTCTTGAGTTTGATGGCTTCCAATAAAACCAGTAAAATAAGAAAGTGTTGTAACAAACCTATAGTTAAAACAATTATGCAAATTAATTATCATATGGCATTTGCCCAGTACCAGAAAGAAGGAAAATCTGAAAAGCTGGAAATTGCCAAGTCTCTTAAAGGGATAAACTTCTCTGGTTGCATTTGGGGGAATCAAGATGACAAAGACTCCAGAAGAATCTCAATAAAGTACAAAATGAAACATACATTTAAAATTAATGTAGGAAAACTAAAGAATTTAAAACTTCTTTAACTGTTCTCCATATGACTTTTAAAAGGATCTTGCAGAACACAGGCCAGGTGTACTGCAGCATGCAGGGAGCTGTGCTTAGTGCAAGCAAGAGAGCTCAGGCTTTCTGCAAAGGTCCCAGGTTTCAAAGGACCCAGAGAATTTGGAAGACAGAACCTTTCAAGGACAAGCTTTACAGACAAACTCCATTTGGAAGGCTTGAAGGAGTTAATGTTGAAGTAACAAAGTCAGGAATTGATATCTCAGTATTTTTCTTCCTGGAAATTCTCACAGAATCCCAGAATGGCTTGGACTGGAAGGGACCTTAAAGAACATCTCATTCCACCCCCCCCTGCCATGGGCAGGGACACCCTCCACTAGATCAGGCTGTTCCTGATCAACCTGTCCTACTGGGCCTTGGACATTTCCAGGAATGGGGCAGCCACAGCTTCTCTGGGCAACTTGTGCCAGGGCCTTCTCAAAGGGAAGAATTTCTTCCCAATATCCCATCTAACCCTGCCTTCTATCAGGGTGAAGCCATTCCCCCTTGTCCTGTCCCTGCAGGCCCTTGTCCCAAGTCCCTCTCCAGCTCTCTTGGAGCCCCCTTAGACACTGGAAGGGGCTCTGAGGTCTCCTCAGGCTTTTCTTCTCCAGGTTGAACACCCCAGCTCTCTCAGGCTGTTCCAGAGGAGAGGTACTCCAGCCCTTGGAGCATTTATTTCCTGATGAGAAGTAGCAATGGCCTGGTAAGAGACTGGACACAGAACAGAAATCAAAAAGTCACAGCCTCTGAAAAAAAACCCACTGCTCACAAGGCCAAAGCAGAAACAAAACTCTGTAAAGAAACTACACATTTTACTTGAGAGGAGCCCCCTGAGCAGGGCTGCAGCTTTCATTAGAAACCATGTTTGAAATGATTGAATTGCCATCCTTCAGTACTGTCAGGGAGAACTCAAGCTGGGATGTGCATGTTGATTTGTCAGGAGCTGGATGGGATGGCTGCAGATGCAAAGTGCCTGTCACACTGACTGTGGACAGAGCTGAACCAGCGACCTGGAGGTGAGACCACTTTCTGCAGCCAACCCTCTGCCTTCATGAAAATGGATTCCTCAGCTTCTTGGGCAGTGCCCATCCATCAAACAGACAATATCTCAAAAAAGTACAGCACTGTGGACCCGAGCAAACCTCTTCAGGTTGCCAGAAGACTCCCAAGTTCATGAAATTGTAAACCTAAGGACAGCAGTTACACAAGTGAAGTGAACAGCAGCCCTGTGCTTCACTTACATGCAGCACTGATAGAGAGGAGCCAAGATGCTTCTTTCATCAAGGGCAGGGTTTCCAAAGCTGAAAAGCAAAATGAAAACCAAGTGAACCAGCTGAACTCCTAAGGTTGTTCTCAACATAAAAAGCTTTGTAAAGAATTCAGAGAAATCAATACTAGGCAATTTCATGCTCCAAGAGATCAAATCATTTAAATTAAAATATAAACAGGCCATGACTAGTCACAGATATAACCTTCATCAGCATCAGCTAAGCAGGTAAACAGAAGCAGCACAGTATACCCTGTTCTTTATCAGACCAAGGCACCTTAGACAGGCATTTCAGAGGAGTTTAGAAATGATGCAGGGATAAGGAATAACTGCTCTTCTGGGCATGCAGAATAGGAGCTTTGCCTGTCTGACACAGCTGGGCAGGGAAGGAACCAAACAGCAGCAAACATTAGAGCCACAGTTCACTAACAAGGTGATCAACTTAAACATTTTAAGCCAGAAGGTTTCCACAGTATTTCAAGCTTCATCCAAACACATGCTGGATTTATTTTTCATAGTTTCATCTTCCTCATAATACTGTTTTCAACTAAGAACTTTCCCTTCAATGAAGATAAGTTGCTGCAGGGGCCTGGCCTTATGCTGCCCAAATAATTATGTTATTTGTAGCTTTAAAATTGAATAAGTTCCCTGGTCATGGCACCAAGGACCATCTGCTCTTACTTGCATGGTTTAGTTTTAGGTAGCCCTGTAAGAAACTAGGAATTTGGGTCAATGATCCTTATGGGTCCCTTCCAAATTGAGATCTACCATGGTTCTGTGAAAAACTGTCCCCTACCCATTATTTCTAAGAATCTGGTCCTTCACAGAAAGGAAACTCACTGCTACTCCACATGGGAGTGCCCACCAGAAAAATAAATAATCCAGAATTGCTGGACTAAATTATGAGAAAGGCAAATAGATGACCTTTATGTTTTTAAGAAAAATTAATCCAATTGTTATTTAATCCAATTGATTTAAACAAGACTGTGTCTTCAAAATGATTTTTAACCTAAACTATAGTGGACAACATACAAAAAAAACTATAGCAAGGACAGAAGAACTCATATTCTAAACACATTTTTAAAACATTTTTGTTCAGGTAAGAGTTAATGTCCACATTTAGAACATCATCATTTTTGTGTTTGGTATCATTTCTACCTCCATTCTAAACTTTTAACCTTTCAAAGCCAGAGTAGGCATATCCAGAAGGCAGGGAATGCCAAATTATTCAGAAATACATTTTAGAAAGATGTGCTTTTATTACAGCACTCACTTATACTGACTGGTGATAAATAAAAAAGCCAAATTTTTTTTCAATCTTTCATTAATTAAAAGCCTAAAAGGAAAGGGTATTTCTGGGGATAGGAGGTGAGACTTGAGCAAACCTCTGAAAGTTGCTTTGGCAAATACTGTGTTAACTGGGGAGTTTCTGTAGCTTGAGCAGGACTTTGCCAAGACAGAAGAGTATCTAGAGCAGAGAGCAGAATCAGAGACCTAATATGGTTTGGGTTGGAAGAGTTAAAGCTCATCTTGTTCCACCCCCCTGCTGTGGGCAGGGACAGGTGCTTCAAGCCCTGTCCAACCTGGCCTTGGACACTTCCAGGAATGGGGCAGCTTCTCTAGGCAACCTGTGTCAGGGCCTCCCCACCCTCAGAGGGAAGAATTCCTTCCTAATATCTGATCTAAACCCACTTTCTTTCAGTTTGAATCCATTCCCCCTTGTCCTGTCAGCACCACAGCCTTTGAAGGAGCCTAACATTTGGTGAGTAATTTCTGATAAAAAGGAAAGACTATTACAAACGATACTAAAGAATAAATTAGAGAGAGAGAGAGAGAGAAAACAGAGAGAGACAGAGCAGATAAATGCGTGCCCTTGCACTGACCACTGCCAGGCCAGCAGGGCTGTGCCCAGGCTCACCTTTTGGCATTGTCCAGCAGGATGAGCATGCTGGCTCCCTCGTCATCCTGGAAGCTCTCGTAGTGGTGCCGGTCGGCGTTGCCGATCAGGTAGTCGAAGATGGCCGTGTCGATGATGTCCAGCAGGCGCGGGCCCGAGTCGTACGGGGACGTTTTCTTGACGGCGTCGCAGTAGCTCTCGTCGTACTCCCACCTGCAGCCCGGGGGAACCAAGCAGCCCTTCAGAGAACCAGCCCTGCTCAGCAAGAGCAGCTACAGCTGCCCTCGGTCACTGTGAGTGCACCAAGAAAGGGGAGCAGCCCAGGCTAGACAAAGAAGGAAGAGCAGGACGAGTGCTTATGGGAAGAGTAAAGCCTGCATTAACATCCCAGCCCATGGAGCGAGCTGTAGTTTCAGTTCAAAGATACACAAAGATCATCTTCCTATGGAAAACAATGTCAGAGTTTGCTTCCTCACAACTCCACAGTGGCTGGGCTATGTTATGGGAAGATTACTGCCATGTCTTGCCTCCCTCAACTTCCCAAGGAACACTTCAGTACTGTGTGTGTTTCCATTGCCTTGAGCTGTTTCCATCTGGCTTTCCAGCCAGCCTCTTCCTTTGTTATTTTTAATGCAAGTATCCTAATCGTGGTTAATCATGAGCCCCTCTGCCCCCAGGAGAAGGGCTCCACAGTGGTCACTCTCCCTCACTCACAGCTGTCTCTTTCCTCCCCTCTTCCTTTGCAGAGTATCTCACCTTCTCCACTGACATGATTTCAAGCTTCCCTCTTATCTCCTTCTCCTTGTAATCTCGTGACATGGATGTCATGTCTCAATTCTCCAAAGCTAGGATTTTCAATTTCCTCATTTTCTTCTTTACAGCTTTCAAAACTATTCAACACCACCACCAAAACAGCCAAATCTCTGGTGTATACCCTTTCCATCTGTCAACCTAAATAACAAGGACATCTTCCACGTAAGGACTGAAACAATCCTTCACAAAGTAGCAGTTAAATTGGAAATGCCTTAAACCATCTGTGATTTGGAAACAGAGATGGAAGAAACATAAGCTGGAGAGACTTGCTGACATGCTCAAAACTGCAGATAGTCATAAAAGTAGGAAGATCAGAATTTAATGACTACAACTGCCACATATCCCACTTCATCTTCTAGTGGTCTGGAACCAGAGATCCCAGTATCCCACCTTTCTTCCAGGTAACCAAATCAGAGAGCTTAAACATTTAACTTCTAAATGTTCCTAATAACAGGTCACACATGCTCCTCAAATGCTGTGCCTAAACCCCCTAGGAAGAGGGATCTTTGCACCAAGGTCCAACTCACACTCAGGGTGTAGCACAAATCCACACAGCAACAGTCTCAGAACCTCTTCTCCTTGTCCTGGATACATTTCTTATGCTGCATCCCACTCTCCCTCAAGTGTTTCTTTTTCTCTCATTTTTCTTCAGAGCAGTACTTAATCTTCTTGCCACAATTTTTCAGATATACTGTGCTCTCTCTCATTTTCCATGCAGTCTTTCAAGAGAGACTTTTATCCAGCACTCATTTCTGATAATTTATATTGTATTAGCACAGGCCTTGGAAGGTCAGGGATTTTGTCTATTACACCTCCATTAAAAATTACATACACTAATGTGCCTGTGTGAATTATGTTCAAAAGGTCAACTCAAAACAGCAGCTAGAGCAGGAAAAATTTTTACAGAGTTATTTTCTCACAATTACCATGCACAGAAAAAGGAGAGCGTGACACCAAGAACTTTTAATTCTGATCTCTCAAAGTGAAATGTGCAGTGTGACATGATGAAAAACACCAGAACCTTGTAACCTCATCTGAAGGAGGCAAGTGTGAGTTCAAATACACCAAGTATCAAATCAGCACAGGAATCAAGCTAAACCCCTGTGTAAGCAGGCAGGGTGTGATGAAAAGGAGCCTCTCAACAGGAGGAACACCTCCAAGAAATTCATCCTGTTCATCACTGCAATGTACCATGTACTAAACAGAGCTGATTTTGACCTGCTGGGAAAGAAAAAACATCTGCTGCTCAAAATTCAGTCTGTGCATTTCATACCCTAAAACAATTCAACACAGCCTCTGGATGAGATTCTTTCTGAGAACAATCACATTACTGAAATCAAGGGATACTTTAGATAAAGGACTGAAAATCTCTTCTAATCACTTTCAAGTTCAAGACAGATTTGGAAAAATTTACTCAGCTCAAACCCATTTGTTCTGCTCATGGCAAAAACATCCCCACCTCAGGAACTCAGATGTGTTACATCTATTGTAGAATGCTGCTTAAAGAAGGACAAATGTGGGATTTAGCATTCTTTACATGCTGAGCATGGTCACCAAGTACTGATGGCATTCAAAGCAAAGGATTTTCCAGGGTGTGTTGATGTGGCACAGCCTGATTTTTTGGTAACAGGGGAAGGCCACAGGTTTGGCTTCTGTGAGAAGCTGCTGGAAGCTTCCACCATGTCTGACAGAGCAAATCCCTGATGGCCAGCAGTGGAAGCATGACAAGTGACTCCCCAACACAGAACCTAGATGGGATTGACCTCTGGGCACTGTGGGATCTTGTGACAGTCTTTGAATTGGTGGAATGGCTTCTGTGAGAAGCTGCTGGAAGCTTCCACCATGTCTGACAGAGCAAATCCCTGATGGCCAGCAGTGGAAGCATGACAAGTGACTCCCCAACACAGAACCTAGATGGGATTGACCTCTGGGCACTGTGGGATCTTGCGACAGTCTTTGAATTGGTGGAAGCTGATGATGGTACCTACAAGCAGCAGTTTTTCTTCTCGTCAGAGAAGAGGAGGAAGTGAGAACATGTGAGGGAAAACAACATGGAGACACCAAGGTCAGTGGAAAAAAAGAGAGGAAAGAGGTGCTCCAGGCATCAGAGCTGAGATTCCTCTGCAGGCCATGGTGAGGACTATGGTGAAACAAACTGTCACCTTGTAATGCATGAAGTCCATGGGAGATGCAGAGATCCACGCACAGCCCATGGGAAAAGTGCTCATGGTTGAGTGGGTGGATGCCAGAGAAAGCTGTGGTCCAGTGAGAGACCTGAATAGAGAAAGAGGGCCCCTGCTTCCAGAGAAAGAGAGAGCTTGCTTGCTCTCTCCTTGCTCCCAGACTGGAGCAGCCTATGCTTAAAAGACTGCATCCTGTGGACAAGTGACCCACGCCACAACATTTTATGACAACTGTTTGCCTGTGGGAGGGACCCCATGGCACAGCAGAGAAAAGACTCCTCTCCCTGAGTGAACAGGAAAAGATTTCCAATGATGAACTGATCAAAACTCCCACAACACCCTGTCTTCCTGTGCTGTTGGTGGGAAGGAAGGAGGGGTTGGGGTGAAAAAAGGGGTTTTAAAGGCTTATTTTACTTCTCATTATCCTCCTCTGACTCTGTTAATAATAAATCTACTTTATACCTTTAAATTTGGACCTGTTTTGCCCTTAGAGTGTTTTTTTTTCACCTAGTCCTTATCTCAACTCAAGAGCCCTTTGTTAATTTTTCTTCCCTCTCCTCTGCCCAACTGTAACACAAGAGGGTGAGTGAACAACTTTTGTGAGTGCCTGGTGTTTGGCCAGTGTCAAACCATGACACAGGGCCTAGCTGAACTTAAACCAGTTCCACAACTCTGAAAATGAACTACAAGGATCATGAAATTAGGTACAGCACAGTGCTGCCACGTTTCAGAGGCCACAGCATCAACAGAAGGTCCAGTGGCACAAGAGAAGAATCTTAGCTTGCCCACAGACAAGATTTTCAGAGGTTGGAGTGACTGCATTGTGGAGCTCTGTTCCAGCCAAAATACAGGAAAAGGACAGTGCTTAATATTGTGGAAAACAATGAAGATTTTTTTATTTCCTCATTTCAATTTAAATTTTATTCTGGACTTCCTAGCTTCTACTGTTGTGCTAAGAAAGCTGTTGACACAACCGTGGGTTTTGAAAGCACTCAGAGCTCTTTAATTAACCAAGGGTCATTTTAGTGCAAATTACCATCTGTAAGGAACAGCACTGCCACGTTCTCATACCTGGCCAGTTTGCCCTCCCGGTAAGTCCTGCCCCAGGGGTGCCGGTGCTTCTGCAGGGGCCAAACGTCCGGCAGCCACAGCGTCACTGAGCCCTCCATGATGTCCCCATCTGCACAGGCTGGCTCTGTCTCCCGACAGTAGTAGCACTTCCCATAGAAGCAGGTGTTATTGCCTTCAAAAGAAAAATTAAGAGGTATTAATCCAAGGAATCCAATTGAAATTCAGGAGCCTGTTGTTGCAGCAGAAGCTTCCCCATGAGAGGATTTCACTGCACTTGTCTTCATGGTTCCTGTCTCTGAGAGGAAGAGGCTCAAAAGAGCCACAAACATCCATTCATTCAGAGCAATTAAAGAATAATATGAAAAGGAGAGAGCAATTATATTTTCTTAATGACTTTATCACTTTGAGAATTAATACAACATCACACTCTCAACAAGTTTTTGTGATCCTTTCCTAGTCCTGAGGACCCTGACTTTGCAATGTTAACACTGCTTGTTGTTCACATTTCGTACTTCATGTGTCAGATTTCCCACTTACTTGAAAAAGCTGATCAAAAAGAGATAAGTGAAAAGAGACACATCAGAACTCAAAGGGATTTGGTGACCTGAGACCTGCCACATGTCTCAGCTACTTGAGCTGACTTGGAAGAGGAGACAGAAACAAGTATCATTCTCACATGACAGAGGAATGCAGATCTGTCAAAGCTTCATCAGTGTCTTCTGACTGGAGAGGAGCAACAAAATGCTGCAGCCTTTAGTCCACTAATAGTGATGCATCAAGTAATCTGGAGCAGCCTGCATTAGTAGTTTTAACCTTTTCTATCTTCCCCTTCTTAACTCACCTTTGCTTGATCCTCACCAAGTTAAATCCAGTTCCATGCTCACAGATGTTCTTCCAAAATATTCTTCAACTATGTCTTACTTGGTTGTGACTACCCTCTGTCCTTTCTTCCTTTGGTTCTACATCCAATATCCTCCCCAGAGCAGGCTCAGTCTCCAAATGCCATGTTCTTCCCTTTCCACCTCACACATCCCTGCCTCTCAGCCCTCCATCCAGACCCTGTGCTCCCAGTATCCTGTCAGACAACCTGAGGATGTCACAGACCATCACCAACACAGAGCTTGCAGACCAGATCTCTTATTTGTATGGAAAGCCTGCAAGTCTCTCTTCCCATCCAGGGGCTGCAGCAGATCTAGCAAGAGACAGAATTCTTTGAGATTCTAGCTGTAAACCTCAACTGAGTATGAATGAATTCTCTCTCTTTTCAAAACCTCAGGAACTTGGTCAGATTTGGCCTGACAAAAGACCATAACCTCCTCCACAGATTGACCCATTTCTTTAGCTCCTGTCTTTGCAGAACAGCAGTTCCAAGGAATCTAAGGAGGAGCAATGAACGTTTCTGGAGCCTTACTTCTCTGCTAGCAAACAGCTTGGCTATCTTGGCTGAAATTGGAAAATGTAAAGCCTGCCTGAGGCAGGACCATGTGAATGCCAGGAGAGGCTGACAAGGCTGAGCTGAAACTTTCATCTGGAGGTTGCACCTTGTAAGTGGCAGTGTCAGGCAGCAGGTGAGACTGCCAGCAGTGCTGCTAACAGGAACATTACCAGGGGTAAGGAACAATCATCTCCGGAGCCTTCTGATTAGGAAATGAAACAAACAAACAAAAGAGTAATAATTGGATGGTTTATGAAAGCCTCAGGGAGATAAGGCTGCAGCATAAGTAATTTCTTGGTGCTTAATGACCACCTGGTAGGAGTTCACATTAATAGCTTCTATTATGTGTCCTTCACAGCATTATTACTGTAAACAACACAGGGAAGTTCTGCCATTGGTTGTAAATGCTCTGCAGGCTCTGATGCAGCACAAACAACATCTAATACCAACCAGTGTGTCAGCTCTATAAATTATCCCAAATCACCACTCTCTTCACATTAAATACAACTTTATTCTTTTCTTTTCAGGTCTAATCACAGACTTTTCTAACCATTTTTGACAGCAGAGATAAAATTCTTATTCAAAAAATAAAAATCTCATCTGTAACAGCAGCATGAGGGAACATTACTTGAAGAAAACCAAGTCCTCCTCCCCCTCCAAACGGGGCCAAGATCTCTCCTGGCACAGAAAGAGCTTCCTGCATCATGGTTAACTGCTCTACAGTTGTGTCAGGCCCCCATGGCTCTTTTATCCCATTAAGCATTTTTCCTTCCCTGGCAGCACAGTCCATGGAATGCACTCACCCACAGTCATGAAGGTGCCCAGGAGCTGCTCCGTGGCCACTGGTTTGATCTCCGTGCGCAGATTCACAAACCTGCCAACCACCAGCGGCGCCCGGCGGAAACCCAGGATTCTGATGTGGGGTGAAAAAACACGACCTGAGAATTTGCAACATAGGCAGCAGTTCAAAATTAAAACAAAAAAAACCCCTCACAGTCTCTGTCAGAGATGATAGAGACCAAAGAGAAAAGCTGAAGCCCTGCAGGAGCCTCCTCTCTTCTCTGAGGCAAGGTAAGCAAACTCATTTTTCATATGTGCCTGGAAGTTAAACTTTATAGGCCATCAGTGACACTCCTTTACTAAAGCATTTGCAGCAGAGCAACAGAGGATGCACCATGCTCCAACTCTCAGAACTCAGACCTCACACCAGAAATATCCATCATGTGTCTGAAGCAGGCTGAAGCAGTAAAGCCATATGGCCCGTGGGCTGGTCAGCTGGAAAGATCATTTCTAATTTGTGGGAACCACTATCTATTAAAATGTTATGCTTAAGCCAAATTCAATTACACTTGAAAGCAACCAATCCAAGAGTTGTTTTGTTTGGCACAAGGAAGGAGAAGGGAAGAGAGAATGGTAGAACAAAAGTGAATGCCTGAGAAGTGCCTGGAAAAACAAAGGTGGGAAGAACAACCATAAAACTTGCAGTTACAAGATCCAGGTTCCACTCCCATGCCTGCCACAACCTTTGCTCAGTGACCACAAATGACTCGGGTGTTTGTAATGGAATTTTAGAAGTGCTTAAAGAAGTGCAAAGATCAAAGGAGTGTCAGCCCCAACTCTCTTAATGCACTTTTGACACCCTTTGCATCTCAGAAAAAGATCCTGGAAAGGTATTCCTGAAGAATATAGAGGTGCAGAGCCATAGAGAAAGACCAGAGGAAAAAAAAAAAAGCACAAAATCATGACCAAATGGACAGCAAAGAAGAGTTAAGTGAGATTTGGACACTTGAAAGAGGCTTTGATTGAATGTTCAATCACTGCTTTTTCAGGGAACCTCAAACCTGTATGCTCCTTGAAAGCACAAATGGACTGACATCTGGCTCCACTATCTTTTTTTGGTTTTAATATACCCTGATTTCAGCCCACCAGCACAAGCTGGCTGTAGCAGCAATGGGTGTTACTCAACTAGTTATCATCCTAGACACTCTAATTCTTCCTAGAATTATTGATTTCTACTGCCTGTGCAATGAGTTCCACAGGTGAATCAGGACTAACAGACATCTCTGTTACCACCTATGAGTTTAGTCACAGTGATAAGGCTCTTATCTATGTACTGAGAAACCTCAGCTTGAGTTTAACCATTCTATCCTTTGTTATATTTGTCCCTCCTTACTCCTTTTCTCAAAATTTAATGTGTTTTCACCTCCAAATCTTCCTATGAGGAAACAGAAACTGTGCTCATTTATGTTATGTGAAATTGCAGCTCTAACACCATTTCATAACTATTGACATTCAGTGTCTGGTGTTTTCTGTCCCATTCTTTGAACATCCTATAATTTTCATTTTTTCCTGTAATTGCACCTCCAGCACAGGTCCACAAAACCACCTGGTTACCCCAAGCACAATTACTATATGAATAACTGGATTTCCTCTAGGATGCACGGATTCATATTTACTCTAGACTAAATTGTTAGTTTAGACTTTTGTTAGTCTTGACTTTTTAGTGAACTGGACATGAACTTAGCACATACATTTATTATTTCAGACTTTTCCACAGCATTTAGCTAAGCTCTTTCTCCCCCATAATATTAACTAGAGTGGTTTCAGGGCTCATTCTCCTTTCCAAACTTTTCACAAGTATCTAAAATATTGCACTCTTGAACAGATCTTAGAAATGAAGTTTCACAGAATAAACTAATTCTTCTTTTGCCTTCAATATGGTAATTGGCAGGTTAGAGGTAGCTCCTATCTGAGGTGTATTCTCCAAAGAACCCCTTTTTTCTGGTACTTTCCAAAGACAATAAAACCAGATAAAGCAGTAATTCCATACCTATCCAAGTGAAAGGCTGCCACTTCTGCGTTGTGTCTGTCATAGCCAGCGTAGGGTTCTCCTTCCACTATGTAATCCCTGGCATATCTGGAATTGAAATAAGTGAAATGAAGTGAGTCTATGCAGAATCCCTGTCAATTCTGCTGTTCAGAGTAACAATTTAATAATAGTTAAAGAGTCTCTGGGTCACCTTCCAAGTGACTGCCAATGGGAGAGTGGAAAAACATCAATGAGATTAAAGTGTCCAGACTGTTAAAGTGGTAAATAAGGAGGAAAGGTTAGTGATGTACAGTGGTGTCCAGAGCTTGGGAAGCAGCTCACATTCCAACTAATAAATTTTAATCCAACCATATACCAAGTCACATCTTAGAACAAAGAGCACAGATTCTGCTATGGAGCAGGGGTTATTTATACTGGAAAGCAGTAAGTCCACAGATGATTTTGGGGTTACAAAGAATTGTACATTAACAATTATCATTAACAAATACAATCTTATATTGTGGAAGAGATGGCAAATGCAATCTTTAGTAGATAGAAAATCAGCAAGTGTGAACCTCAGGACAATACTGGGTATAAACAGAGCCTTTAATCTGGCAGAGAAAAGACATAATGAACAGCAAAAAATAGAAATTAGGCACCCATTGCAACAACAATGGTGCATTTTGGTGAAGTACAAGGCTTTTTGCTCCCCTTTTTATCCTTTAGCAGACGGTACTTAGCCAAGGCAAACACCAATTTCTCAGCTGCCTGACATTTGGATCAGTGTAGATACTGCTGCAGCACCACACTGCAGCTGAGTGTGAAATACCACAATCAATAGCAACCAAACGGGTGAAATGCAACATGTTTTCAAATAAAATAAGGCCAAATTAGGTTACCTAGTCTCTTACTTCCATCTATGTATCAAATTGTGTGAACAGGATTATTTCCAGCAAAATTTGTGTTCAAGCAGTAGCAACAGCAGTGTAAGAGGAGACACAGAGCTGGACCTCAATGTTTTAGCCTTGCTCAGGGAGGATGTGGGGTGAGAAGACAGTCCTGAGCAAATGCTTCAGCTTCTCTGCAAGGCAGCTCAAAAGAGAATTCACCAGTGCAGGATTCCTGGCAAATGGGAGCTTTCACCAAACCAGCATCCTCTGTCACATACACCACCAGATGTGATGACAGCAAGTAATATATGTTAGTAAATTAGGCTGAATTTCAAGTAAATTTGAAGTGAGACAGTGAATCCTCAGAACACATCCCCAAAGGCAGGCCTTTGGCGGTACTCACAGCTGGCTTTTGGAAACATGGTCACATTTTAAAAGCTGCAGAGCTAAAATTTATTAGTGAATCCCGGCCAAACTCTTTGTTTCCATGCACAGTAGGCATCTAGTCCTTTCCAGAGCAAAAGTCATGAGGGAATTCCTTCTTCCCCTGCTGGTAAGTTTGTTCAGAACTGTTTTTAGCAGTAACTTTGACAGAACTTTCAGGTCCAAAGCTGGTTAAATAGACTCTCTTGCAGTGCCAGAACAGGACTCTGCCCACAAGCCTGGCTATTCAGCAGTCATAAACAAAACCTGGATCTACCAGGATGGCCAAGGCCACCCTCTCTAGTGTTCCTATAAACATTGCCAGCTGCACATGTCCTTGCTGGAGCTCAGTGCCTGTGCTTGCCTGCACAGACAGGGCATTACAGAATGCAGTTTAACTCCCAGTGAAATGCTTGACTGCACTCCCTGACACAGAAAGCTCTATGAGAATGCTGTGCTTCCATTGGAGGAGATGCCTCTAGTACCACCAGGATTTTGTGTGCAAGGCTCATGCTGTCTGGGCCTGCAGGGGAACTCCAGCCAGAGCAGGAATTGTCTGTACAGAGACTTTTTTATCGTTCTCTAATCATAGAATCAGAGACTGCTTTGGGCTGGAAAAACATTTCATTCCAATTCTGCTGCCATGGGCAGGGACGCTTTCCACTAGACCAGGCTGTTCTAAGCCCTGTCCAACCTGGCCTTTAAACACTTGCAGGGATGGGGCATCCACTGCTTCCCTGGACAACCTGTGCCAGGGCCTCACCACCCTTACAGGGAAGAATTTCTTCCCACTATCCTATCTATCCCTGCCCTATGTCAGTGTGAAGCCACTCCCCTTGGTCCTGTCACTGCAGGCCCTTGTCCTAAGTAATTTCTTTTGAGCCCCCTAAGGCACAGGAAGGGGCTCTAAAGTCTCCCTGGAGCCTTCCCTTTTCCAGCCCTAGCTCTTGTAACCTGTCTCCAAGCAGAGGTGCTCCAACCCTCACAGCATCTTTGTGGCCTCTGCACTCACTCATTAACAGGACAGGAAACCTTAATGCCTGCTTAACCCAAAATCTTATTCTGTGATGACACTTCTCATTTGCAGTGAAGTCTCCTAAAACACACCTGGCCTTACTTTTTAACATCTTTCTTCTCCTTTTCCCCAAAGACAAACAGTTCAAAAAGCTTTACAGCCAAGACTCTTCAGAAACATTCAATCCTGTCAATTTTTTCTGAGGATCACTGTAAACTGAGGCCATACCAAGGAAATATCACTACCCTCCATTCTTATGTTTCTCCTCCAATACTCACTGTGGCAGACAGGAGGCTCAGGGGCTCTCACTCTGACCTATCCAAACCATTTTTACAGCCTACATTCAACTACACCAGACACAAACATGTCATTTTGAGACCACTGCCAAGTTTCCTTCCTTCCCTGCTCCTGAACTGCACCCTCTCCTGACAGTCTGACACAACAAGGAGGCAAAGCTTGTCTCCAAAGTGCCAGAAGCTGCACTTCCAGAGTGAGGAAGATACTGCTCAGAAACATCAGGTGTAACCAACATCCCCTCAGGACTGAACACAGTGATTATTCTTTTTATCCAAAGACAGGCTGTACTGAGCATCAAGGCTGTACAGCCTGAGACAGCTGATGTTACTGGAGCACCAGCAAGGTTGTATTTTGTCTCAAAAATAACAGGATGGTCTTTCCTCTTAGAGAAAAATTCATAACTTAAACACTAATGTGACAACACGGAGAAAAAAAGTATATATACATGAAGCAGTTATTAACGCAGACATTGCAAGCAGTATTTACCTCTTGGGCTTGAAGACAACCTTCTGTCCTCCTTCAAGTATCAGCAAAGCTTTCAGCTGCGTCCCTTTGTACCCCACATCAGCTTTGATGATCTTCTTGGTGGTCATGGCGTGCATGACAGCTCCCAGCTCGGGGGTGTCCTCGGGGTACACCTCGCGGGGCACCACCCACTGCGCCGCGATCTCCCAGGGCGACTGCAGCGTGTGCTCCAGGCGCGGGTCCAGCGCCACGCGCAGCCCCGACAGCATCCGCTGGAACGCGCGCTGGTCCTCCCGGTTGGCAGCCGACGTGTCCAGGTTGTCGATGAGGAAAACCTTGGTGAAAATGAAGATGACGAGGAGGATGGCCAACAGCACAACTCGCTGCTTCAGCTTCATGGTGCCTTTTGGCCCTTCTCCCCTGACCCTTTCTTCCAAGCGTTACGGGAAGTCTGTTGGAGATCAGGGTGAGGAAGGGGACGTTAGTTGATGAATTTCATGCCTAACTTGCATTGTAAAAGATGTCTCACCACTGAAGCATCTCCTGGTACCCCTAAAAACAAACAAAACACAAACTTACAATCCCGCAGATCCCACCAAACTCAAAATCAAGTTTATCCTTGGAACACAAGTCTGTATTCATGGAAACCTGTATCCTTAAGCCCAAACACTTCTGTTAAAACACACTGGGTTTGCTGCCTTCCTGCAGCCTTTCTGTGATCTGCACGGAAGGGGAAATTGCCAGATAGCATCTCTGCACAGCTGAAATCATAGCAGCTGCAACCACCACGGGCAAGACTTTTGCAGGGAACTGTAGTTTAACGTGATTGCTCCAATTTCACATGCACTCTTCCACTAGCGCGAGATCCCACGATTGCTGGTGTCCTAAAGACCTATCCCCCAGAAAAGCTCCCAGGTCAATTTTAAGACAGCTTACAACAGTGAGAACAGCTGCACAACCTTCTTTCCTGAAGGTACAAGACATAAGGACAGAATAGACTTAATTGTTTATTGCCTTTCATTTGCTGCCACTATAATTTACTCAGCTTTTTTTCTATTCTTAAAAAAAATATGAGCTGGGGTGGAGGATGACATCTTTACTTCCTCACAGTTAACTAAGTTCCTTCTGCACTCAACTGTAAAACCCATAACCACAGAAAATATACAAAGTGTCTGCAATCTCGACCAGATTAACAAGAAAAAATACCCCAGACCACTAACCTTTGCCTGTTCTCACATCCTCACCTACAACAGTTAAAACCACATCTGTTTTTATATTTACAGTGGGCTCCAAGATACATCTGGCCCCTCAAGAAGCCTTGGCCAGGGCAGTGTTTGCATGTAAGGACCAGAGAATGCACCATCAACTGTATTCAGTTATAAAGACAGAATTACCTTCCTAGTGTTAGCTGAATGCAGTCAAAAGCCAAATGGAAAGAGGACATGAGGCATACCTCTGAGGGGCACTGGGAGCCAGCAGGAATTTCTCTTCACCAGCCACACTGATCATGCAAACCCCAAACAGCACTCTGGGCTGGGGGAGGACTGACACAGAAAAGCTTTCTCATGTGATTTAACAATAAGTGTATAAATCAGCCATAACTAATCATGGCACTGGAAAAAATGAGCTGCCACAGGCTCCTTTACCAGCAGCAACCACAGAACAGCCAGGCCATGCCGGGTGAGGCACACACAGGTCACAGCCACCAGTGCAGAATCAGGCTGGCACGGTGTAAGAGTGTTCGTATAAAAGGACATGCAAGCCCACAGAGGACTCCAGAGCACCCAGAACAAACCTACATGAGGTCTAGAGCAGACCCACCCAGCCACACGGCTCTCCCACAGCCCTGTTAGCACTCACAGCAGCACAGAGACCCCAGCAAGGGCAGAGGGTAGAAGCCTCTGGGATGCTTCAAACTAGAACCACGGTCTCCCGTTAACTGTGTAATACTGATTTTAATCTGTTGGAAAATAAATGCTCGTGCTCATACTGAAAGAGAACAAATCACATGTTTATATGGAAATTAGAGCATATTATTAGTCTTCATCTAGTTCTGTTTTGGCAGCCTGTTCTTCTCCAGACAGCACTGCCACCTGCACACACCTGCACTGCCACACTGCAAGCACAAGAATGTGAAGCACAGACAAGGAAGATGCACCTGACCCACAAGCTCTCATTCCTGCAGATACAGACTCACCCAGGAGGAGATCCTTAAATAATAATCACATTATGCTTAAACTTCAGCAGACAAGCAAAGCGGATTGGCTGCACCTACACTCCCTCATTTTAACTGCGTAATTCACCTCTTTAAAACTACTAATTCTGAATAATTTTGAGCACTGCTTCCATTCATTTTTAAATTCCATTAGAGTTTGTAAGGAGTTAGGTGGAAGAACAGAGGCACTTTCAAACAGTTACTCCTTGCTATGGGATATGTGTATGTGTACACACACATTTAAAGAAAGCCTCACAGCGCAGTGCTGGCTGACTAAAGCACGAAAGCTCAGGGCAGGATGTTCCACACCTCTGGAGCTCAAGATGAGCACTCACTTTTCTACACTGATTTCCAGGAATACTGAGTTTCTCTAGGGATATTCTTCCTGGGACTCAGGGGGAGAATACAGCTACAGTCACTTAAATTAAAGGTGATTTACTTAGTTTATCTTTTGTGACGGCTTTGAAACTAATTCTAGCTGAAACCCTCCAATGAGGTAAACAGAATTTACAAAAATAAATAAAATTCAATATTTAATTATTTGCTGGTGAGTTGGCTCTCACTTTTTAGTGACATCTGAGGACATGAGTCATGGGCTGCTTTCCTCCAACAAACACCACAGCACCCCCGAGGTTGCCATGCAATCAACTTCCCAGTGCTCCACACACAGCCTGCACTTTGCTCCTTGGTGCCAGCATTACACTCTCTGCTCTGCAAGCCAAGGGAATTGAATCCTTTTATGAACAAGTTTACCACGAACAGCAAGAACTTGAGTTTACTGCTCTAAATTGAAGATGGCAAGGGCAACAGTGTCAAGGCAATGTAAAAAAATATTTATGCTGCTTTGGAAGAAAGTAATTTGAAAAAGACAAGTCTTTGGCAAAGTCTTGGATTGGAAAGGAAGATTATGAGAACTCCAGAAGTGTCAAGCTGGCCCTGGAATGAGGTCAGAGATGAGAAAAGTGAAATAACAATACACCACCAAAATTTTTAAAAGGAAAAAATAAGGTGAGCGTGAGCATAACTCTGTGGAACGAACAGCAAAAGGGTCTCGGACAATGACAAGAGTAAACCCAGCCAAAAAGAGAAAACAGCCAGAAATAAACAGCCCTAGCAGCTTTTTAATGCTGTAGTCAACTGCAAGGTTCGCATAAGAAATATTTCTTGGTTTTCACTACCTCTTTGGGAAATTTCCTGATCAATTCCTTCTCTTATTACAACCAGGTTTGTATTCTCAGCAGGTATGAGTCTTCCAACTCAATATACAAATAGCAGCATCTCCTCAGTACCATGGCGGGGTCACTGTGCACACACACGAATTAAAGCATGTCTTCTGGCATTAAATACCAACATCAGACCACTTCACTCCCAGTTCAAAAAACAACATGCAATTTGCCTGTTACAAAAGTTACAGCTACTATGAGCAGTCTACAAAGTTACCAGAAAAATCCCACAAGACATTTTTTATTGGAGTCACAAAATCGGTGGCGTGCCTCATATCACAATCTTATTTTTATATCATAAAGTCCTTTAGCTGCTATGTCAAAAATACTTGTGTGTACAATTTGCCAGGATTTCATTATGCTCCAAGTCACAAATCAGGTCCGGGGGCAGGCAAAGGTTTAGGTTGGCAGCATAAGTACACAAAAAATCATAGCTCAAACAGACATTGATCTGAAATGGATATGGTGGGAGTAGAGTCTAATTCCTGTTTAATGCATGGGGTTTTTCTTACATACACTATACCTTTTGGGATCACCTATCAAAAGGCCTTTAGAAGTTCTCCAGTAAATCCTGGAAAACGCCTTGAAGAAACATCGTCTACAGTAGTGACATTTTCCTCTTCCCAAAACATCCTTCAGTCTCACCAGATCAATCTTCCTTCCCATCCTCCCCTCTCTGGCCAGCTCCTTGGTGGCTCATGCCTCCCTTCTCTGTGTGAGCCTTGTTATTCCAGTTTCCACAGGCAGGCTCCCACAGACCTTTCCTTGGATTTCTCAGACTCATTCTGTCACTTCCACTCTCTGCGTGCTGCCTGCCTTGTGTACAAGTTTAGTCATCTAGTGCTCAAGGCTTCCCACGTATTTACTTGTCTGCTCTTTCTCCATCTCCTTTCCTCTTAAAACCCTCGTTATCCACAGGCAAAATCTGTGACAGTCTACACTCAAACTTTCCACAAACACAACTGCACCCCTGGCTGAGAGCTACAACGCTGACAAATATGAAAGACCACAAGCATTTTAACCACTGCAATATCTCTGCCTGCAGCTGCAACAATCAGCAACCACCTGAAATATTTTCACACAGCTTTGGAAAGAAACAAAATAATTTTGTCCATCTGTCTGCCCACCCTGGCCTGTTATATCCCTTAGTAACTTAAGAATCTGTCACCTGCATTTCTGCCAAATTTGTCAGAGGACTACTCACATGAGCTTTATAAAAACCACAGGCCAGATAGAGGACAGAAGCCTTGAGAAGCCAAGGACAACTGGGTAAATATCCTGAACCTTTCCCAGCTGCACAGCAAACAGGAACACCTGACTCAGCTGGCTGCACAAATAAGGACAGGGTGGATCGGGATACAGGCAGCTCCTGGGTGCAGCCCTGGGCAAGGAGAAGCCACCAGGCACCGAGGCCTGTGGGAGCCAGGCAGGAGCTGCTGGGGTAGGATGTGGCAAACAACTCCTCAGGAAACCAGGCTGCATTAATCCTCCTTACAGAATGACTTTCCACCAAGCACCGTTTCCTATGGAAACAAAGTTTATATAATCACACTTTTCACTTAGATCCACCAGCTAATTCCAAACACATCTGAGAGGACAGTAGATGTTTTGAAGACAGGGTTTATGTGTTTATTGGAAGCTGGCAGCCGGGGGTGCTGCAGGGAGGGCCGCAGTGCTGGCTTAACAGTTGTCTGCTTGCCTTGGCCATGTGGGCAACCCAGGAGCACACAGCTGGTAGGGGCAGGGAGCTGGGAATGCCACGTGGGCAGGGAGGGATTGGGAGCACTGAAATAGGGAATGGTACAGGACAGGGGCAGGAGCCAAGGGCACTGATACAGAGGGTGCTGGGACGTGGTCAGAAGACGGCCGGAACAACTCTCCCTTGTTCCCATCCCAGTTACTGACATTCCCCCTGACCACTACGGGTCAATAAAGCCAGCTGGAAATGCTTTAGGGAGCCTTGTTCCACTTGGAAATGAAGCCAAGGCAGTGAGAAAATTTTGTAGTTTCCCTTCTCCACTTGACACGTTTATTCATCTCCTACATAAGACTGACATTAAAAATTTAACAAGGGTCCACGTACCCATCTGGATTTTAGCAGTGACGAGCCTGTCGCTGCTGTAGGATGGTGCCAATCAGCCTCCCCCACTCCTGAGGAGAGGCAGTGGGATTCTGGTGTCAGAACCAAGCTGACAACTTTGTACCACGAAGCAAAATAAACTTTTTACCTCAAATGGAGGCACATCTTGTAGTGACTATGTAGGACAGACTTAAGGACACGATGGATGCATGGAGTCATTTTCAAGTTAAAACAAGACACAAGAATGCCTGTTCTGTAATACATACTAGGTGGGATCCAATGAATCCACTGCAAACCCAGGATCTACATTTTACAGTTTACTCTGTTTGCTCAGCCCCTAAAGCACTATGGATGTTGTAGGGCCTCAGAAGGTACAATGAAACAGCTGCAGTGCTTATTCACATCTGTATCCAGAAAGGATCCAAATAGAGAGATCTTTAAAAAAGGTTAAACCCATGCCTTTGACAATCACAGTCAGCGCTTCTACAGACACACATTGTATTTTTCCAGCAGCGGACAGTGACCTTCGCCAAGCTGCGACTGGCACTCGGTGAGAGCTGTTCCCAAGGGTTAACAGATGGCCAGAGAGGCTTCACAGCTGTACGGGGCTCCGTCCCCGGCTCAAAGCGAGCATCCAGAAGAGGAATGAGCCGCAGGAGTGCAGATACAAACTCCCATCTGCCAGAGCCGCGTCCGTGCAGCCCCCGCCGGCCGCGGGCGAAGCCGGGGGGTGTCCGGGGGCCGGAGCCGCGGCTCAGGCCGGACCTGTCAGGAAGGACGTGGAGGTGCTGGAGCGAGTCCCGAGAAGGGAACAGAGCTGGGGAAGGGTCTGGAGCAGCAGTCTGGCGCTGAGGGAGCTGGGGGGGCTCAGCCTGGACAAAAGGAGGCTCGGGGGGACCGTACTGCTCTCCAGAACTCCCTGACAGGAGGCTGTGGCAGGTGAGGGTGGGCTCTTCCCTCAGGTAAAAAGCGACAGGACAAGAATACGGAGCCTCGACCTGCGCCAGTGGAGGTTCGGGCTGGTCACAGGGAGCAATTTTGTCACGGTATGGGTGGTTGGACATTGGAACGGGCTGCCCAGGGCGGCGGCGGAGTCACCGTCCCCGGAGGTGGGTAAGGAAAGCCCGGACGTGGCACTTGGTGCCATGGTCTGGTTGACAAGGCGCTGCTGGGTCACCGCCTGGACTCGACGATCTCGGAGGTCTTTTCCAGCCTCACTGACTCCCTGATCCTGCCATTCTCCCGCCGCCGGTCCGGCCGCAGGGGCCCCTCCGGCGCTTCGCGGGGCGCAGCCGCCCCTCCGCCCCCTCCCTCCCGCCGCCAGGCCCGGGAGCCCCTGCTGTACCCGCCCCGGGCCGCAGCAGCGCCGCGTCCCGTCCCGCTCCGCTCCCGTCCCGCACTCACCGCGCCCGCCGCCCGCCCGCCATGGCCCGGCCACCGCCGGCCCCCTCCAGCCCCACGACATGGTGCCGCCCAGCGCCCCGCTCCTGCCCCCCAGCCAATGGACGCCCGCCCCGCCCGCCGCGCGCCACCCGCCCGCCAATCAGCCGCCAGCGTTGCTCTGGCCGGGGAGACGCGGCCGGGCGCCTCCAATAGGAACGGTGGGGGCGGATTCGGCAGCGTCTTCTCGGGGACGCTGCTCTCGGACGGCGAGGGGCCGGGGTCCTCCTCCAACAGCGGGGGGGGGGGGGGGGGGGGGGTTCCCGCCAATGGGGCGGCGGCAGCGGCGGCGGGGTTAACCCCGACCCGCCCGGCGCCGCTCCAGGGCTGCGGGGAAGATCCCCGGTGCTGGGGTGAAAGCAAGCGAATCCGCGTTTGTCACACACGTTTTTCAAGTGCATATGGAAAATGCTGAGCTGTGGCTGCGCGCAGCAGCGCTCCGCGGGAGCAGGATGCTGTGGCAGCGGGTCCCGTAACAACGCGCGCCGCCGTCAGAGGCACTTGGCTCCTCGGACTTTGGAATTACAGAATTACAGTTTAGAATTACAGCCCTCTTAACCAGTATTATTATACTATATAGCCCCATTATGACTGTGTGCAGTCCTGAGCAGTACACCTCCTTCTATAATCTAGCACCAATAAATTGGATGCTATTCAACCACAACATCAATAGAATTTTATCTCTCCCCGTTCAACTACAAATAACATCTCAATTTAAAAGTTTCCCCCGTTCAACTACAAATAACACATTAATTTCAATTTCCCCTCTAGGCTCACACCGTCCCGGTGTGCAATAACGCCCCGGTGCCGATTCCATCAGGCAGGCAGCGCTGGAAGTTCGGCCGGGAAGGCGCCGCTGGTGCAGGGCCAGCCCGTCCGGGCAGGAGCACGCCCGGCAGGAACGGCGGCAGGGTGCAGGGCCAGCCCGTCCGAGCAGGAGCACGCCCGGCAGCACCGAGCGTGCCCGCCACACGCCCGGCAGGAACGGCGGCAGGGTGCAGGGCCAGCCCGTCCGAGCAGGAGCACGCCCGGCAGCACCGAGCGTGCCCGCCACACGCCCGGCAGGAACGGCGGCAGCTCGGGAGAGTCCAGCGCTGCGCTCACCCACCACAGCTGCAGCCCCTGCCTCCGCAGCTCCTCACTGGCCAGGGCGTTTTCTCCACTGTTTCTGCTCCACTTGCTGTTCCTCATCTTTTTATGGTCCCTTTTCACGGAATCATTTATGTTGGAAAAGACCTCTCAGATCATTGTGTCCAATGGAGTTGGCTGCGGTGTCTTGGGCTACTTTAACACTGCAACAAACACTTGCAGACTGGCCTGAAGTGGAAAATAAATGTATTTCTTTCCAGGAATTTTCCCTTTCCCTCCTCCATGTTTAGGACTTGGAACGAAAACTTTTAAAGGGACTTTTAAAAACCCCTTTGAAAAAAAAATAAAAATCATACCTAGTGCTTTATGACTTCCTGCTGCAAGGTTCCAAGTGCCTCAAGCAAACATCTTTTCAGACATCCACACTCAGGCTACTTCTCTTGTGCAATGCTATTGCTAGAGGGAAAGATACTTAAACATATAGATATATAGATATTAATAACACAGTTTCTTTGTTATGGACTGCTCCTCTGCCAGCTCCTCACCCAATTAAAGTTTTAAACCTAACTACAATCTCAGCTTTCATTATTAATTAGCACGTTAATATTTAAGTGCCGAGCCATTGTCTACAGCTATAGAAACATGAAGGGCTAAGAAGTGGCCAAGTGCATCAGGTTACAGACAAGGCATGGGGCTGGGGATGTTGGATGGCCAGGGGACCAGCAGGACACAGGGTGGTCACAAAGGGCCGTCATCTTCCAGAGGTGACAGGCAGAAGAGCTTTGTTATTCCTTGCCAAGAGCAGAGCCCAGGAAGATCAAGAGAAAGAGCTGGAATAAGGACTACCTCAGGCTGGAGAACACGGTCTGGCTGGGGAAGAACAGCAGCCAAAGGGCCATTTCAAAAGCTGGGGCTGGTGTGAGAAGGAAGCAATAGCGGCTGTGAAATATTTCTATCTGCTCCAGGAAAACCTCTCCATGCTCAGAAGGAGAAAGCTTTAAATCAACATACACTCTCACCACATACTGCACAGATCTTCCTATTCAAAGAGCTGTGTGATCCTGGCAGCAGGCTGAAATAAGATTTATACAACAAAAAAGAAATTCCTGAGTCAAGGATGGCACTTAGACCTAGCAAAGCATGTTAAGCATGGCTTTGCAGAAGATACCTGCACAAAATAAAGCCACGTGTCAATAAGGTGAAGGCACAGAAATAATTTGAGGCAAGGTGTCTCTGAGGTCAGGTATCAAGCACTGACCCTTGGACGGAAACTCTTCAGAAAAGGTGCCACCCCCAGCTCTCTTCCTCCCTGCCAGGCAGTGGAAAGACAAACAGGAGTCATTGCCTTGACTCACCCAGGAGGAGGAGCCCTTGGATCCTGTGAAATGGGAATGGTGAAAGAACATAAGAGACATGAGACACCAGGGAAGGACGGGGCAGGTGAGCGGAGGAGCACTTAATGTGCACCAAGACTTCTCACACAAGTGTGGGAAGTTCACTCAGCTCAGAGCCCAACTCAGTGCCCACCTTCCCCTGCCCTCTCTGCAGTGTGACCTGTGGGGAAAAGGAAGGGCCACAAGGTCTTTGCCCAGTGGAAAGGTGTGGATAGATAGAATGTAGGAGAATAGAGATAGTGGTAATCTCACCCCTAAGGAGTTACAGCTGTGCTAATTAGGAAGCATTAAGAAAAGGCCTGCCCTTAATAGGCCACAGCTGGGTCCCATTAGGAGGGGAATTGTAAAAGAGCAGGTTGGCTGGTCCAGAAGGTTGGATGGAGCTTGTTGGCTGTGCTGAGAAGAAGTCGAAGTCAGTGCTGTGAGGAGCTGCCCATGAGAAATCACCAAGAAGGTATGAAACCTGTGCAACAAGATGGCAACAGAAAGGTACCACAAGGAAGCTTTCACTGGGACTACAGAGTAGCAAAGGGGTCCCTCAGCACATTGACAAAAAGGCCAGATCCTTAGGACTGGGATTAGATGGATAGGACCAGGTTTGGACAATGTGTAAACGCTCAGGAGCCCCCCAGGCACAAAACCCCAAGCGTGGCTGTGCTGATTCAGTCCAGGTGACCTCAAAATCAGCTGTCAGCAGCTGTCCCTGCACCTGAGGAGCAGAGAGGCCAGCTCAGGCTGGCTCCTCTCTCCTGGGCCTGTCCAGAGAGAAGGACAGCAGGAGACTTCCCTCTGCAGATCCAGCCCGAGGCACTGCAGCCTCCAGCTGCTGGAGCTCCATCACTTCATCAGTGAGCATGTGAAGGCACTAGCACCAAATGTCTGCTGCTGTGCATTTCTGCCTCATGGCTCCTTCATCTGTATCAGGGAAAAATCAACAGGGTTAGTTTGTATAGGTGCTTTGAGCCACCTGGGTGATTTTGCCTGGAGCAGATTAGGAAATGCACACCGCAGTTGCTCCCAGACAATGCTGGATACAGGAGTTACAATAAGAAACCACATGTGTCACTATTTTAACAGAGCACCACACCCTGAACACGAAGTTAAAGCAGTTATGTGGGGCATTAAAAATCTTTTTAAAACTGTCAGGTTTATTTATATGGTTGTAAGTGTGTAATTAAATATTTGGGATTTTTTTTCCTCCAAAACTGTGTTTAACTGGAAAGACAAAAACACACACTTAACATTTAAGCTTCCTTAATTGCTTTTAAATGTCACCACAAATTAAATAGTGTTTATTCTCAGTCTAACTGACAGCACCACGAAGACGTCACCTCTCCACCTGAGCACAAAGGCTTTAAAGGAACAGCAATGCACATTTGCATTGCACAAGCTGATTTTATTCTCCCTGCCTCCTCATCAGCACCTCTGTGTACCTTTGATGGCCCTGTGCCTGCTCCTGCCTGTTCTCCTGCATGAGAGCTGATAATCCCAGCTTCACTGCTGGAGGAGCACCCACCAGCTCACTACAGACCAGGTCTCCTCATGGAGAGGGGGAAGAGTCCTGCTCCCTTGGGAGAAGAAAACCAAGAGCAGTTAAACAAAGCCCAGATGTTTGTTGGGGTTCCACAGAGGACAGCTAACTCCCCTCTGCATCCTTTCACCAGAGACTGTGCCAGGAGAAGACAGAGAACTTGGGGATTATTAACATCAGAGCTGCACGTACTGGAAACCTGACAAGGGCAATGGAGTGGTCATTTCAAATTGACTGAAATTGGATAGATTAATAAATAAATAAATTGTAAGCTCTCTTTTTAAAATTCAGAATCACTTTAAGTTAAAGTGTAAGACTAGTTTGGCAATTTCATGAAGCATCAGTGCCCAAAATGAACTTTTGGAAAGTAGAATCCCTGCCCATGGCAAGGAGTTGGAACTAGAGGATCCTTTAAGTCCTTTTCCGATTGAAACCATTCTGGGATTCTATTAATAAAAGCAGTGGGCATTGTTCTGAGTCCTCTGTAAAATATTAGGGTTCATCATCCTGGGAAAAAGAAAGGGAGAAGAGAGACTGCCTTGCTTGGAAAACAGAGACAGATGCTGCCACGGAAAAGGGGCAGTACCTACAGTACCAAGATTTTACCTTTCTTTCTCTCTAGAGAAGTGTTGCAGACACTGGATTAAAGCATTTCTCAAGCTTCTCACAACAAATCAAGCTCTGTTGAGCTGGGGGGGTTGAAACAAGTCACTGTGCTGTGACAACATGCCAGCCAGGCTGTTGTGCATCTTCTCTTGTATGTGGGTATTAGCCCAAAATAACTAAAGATATTTAAATCACAAGTAGCTGACTTCAGAGCAAACCAAGTAAGCTGTGCAGAGACTCTTATGGTTCTTCCTGTCACTTTCTCAGGCTGTCACCAGAACATGGGGATTTATTTTTAATGCATGGCCTTTATCAGATTCCTGGTACGAAATTCCTTCCCTCTTCATGTGAGCATCATGAAATAGAGGGGTCACAGCGAGGATCCTGAACACAGCC